TTTCAGGTTTTTTTTTTTTCAATTAAAAAAAAAGGGAGGCGGCCTCCAAAAACAAAGCAGGCAGGGACACTAAACATGTTTTTTTTTATTTGGCCTAACCAAAAGACTGCACAGACTACAGAGCAGTACATATCATCGCCAGCATTGGCACTGTTTTTATCCATACCCTTTTATCTTTAAGTACCTCCCCGCTCCGCTTGACATTTCACGTCGGCCCAGACAACCTGCCTGCCGCTGCCGTACCCAAAAATAAAACAATCCTGCTGACAGTCTGGGATCACATGACCACGAGTAGACGTCATTATTTGAAGCCCGATCTCTCGGACTCGTTAGCAAAGCAATTTTCTCCTAATTGGTTTGTTCATGTTTGGTTCTCCAGGGAAAAGGAGGCACCAATGTAAACACTCAGTGTTTGATATACTGTGCACTGAAAAAGCATACGTGTACGTTGGCCCAGTGAAATTCGTTTCGCATATGGTTTTGGTGAAAGGATATATTCTAGCCATTATTAACATACAGAAATTAATATATTTACCAGGGGGTACTTGTAGATCATTTACAAGTGGGTGTTAAATGTTCAATATTTCGCTGTACAAAATACTTCACTTGTGGATCCCGAATGACAAATAGGAACATTACTGCCAAAGGCAGAGTTGAATATAAATGGCATAGGATCTCCAACGGTCATGTTTTGGTCCCTTGGTTAGGCCCCCCAAAAATAATAGTTCTGCCCCTACCCAAATTTTTTTCGGGAAAAATGAGGGGAAAAAAATAAATAATGATTGCTGCCTTTTACCCTAGACTACACACACACACACCTAATTATGATCAACAGAAGTCCCCCCCCCCCTCCCCAAAAAACCCCTACCTGCCTACCTTATTTTCAAATGCCATGTAATCAGAAGCAGAACATTTTTGTTTACAATTTATGTAAAACACATAATTTTATGGGTTAGTAGAAGTACCAGTACATAACACAGGCATGCAACTGGGAATTTAGAAAAAAAACACAAGGACACTCCAAACCACACAAGACTTTGTACAGCGTTGCTCATTGTGTTGGCATTCATGAGAAGTTATAATGAGGAAATCGGCGGATCCGAGGAAAACTTGCATGTCTGATAACATGAACCGGTACATGAACATGTACAATGTATGAATATTATGTACAGTACCGGTATATGCTTCCTGTATGACTATGATGAAGGTTTAGAGTTGAACTTGCTGACTGCAATCCAATACAAATGTTTACATTTATTGTTGGCCTATAAGCATGTATACATGTCAATAAAAATAGGTGGGTCATACTAGATTAGCTTTTATTTAAATTAATCCGTACTTTTCCTGCTACACTCACAACAGAACTGCAGAATGTGTGTTGGCATGGCCCAGGGCTCCAGGCTTAAAATATTGACTTTACAGGATTATAGGATCATCCTATGCAAAGGATTAACTGTCTGGCACATGTCTTTACCTGGGCAGACCCACAGGGGATTAGGAGATTATCAGATTAGACTTGCAGGTTAATCCTAATGCATTGCCATTAACACCCCAATTAGAACAATTATTTGCCTTCACTGGGGATCAGATGTTTATACAGGGCACAGTACCTTGAACCTTGTTCCTTGCAGGGAATACATTTCACTGACCAGCATTTAAAGGGGAAAAACAACATTTGCAAACATCAAAAAATAAAACTACCAAATCATTTTGAAATACCTTGCTGGACTGTTAGTGAATGACAGGGTAAAGCATCCTGTAAAATCATGGCACCTGGTATACTGTCATTTTCAAGAAAAGTGGTATTTTTGTATCAATTTCCAACGCTGATCGGCCGATCGGCGTTGGAAAAAACTGGCTTTTTTTCAAATACTGGCCCCAATTGACCATCGCACTTGTTTGCAATCGATTACACACCTATGAACGGGTACAAGCCAGCTAGACTGGTTCCCTGACCTTACAATTCCCCAATGTATGTAAATTGCTCTGTTTCTCCTTAAATGGAGTCAGGGAACCAGACTACAGGAAAATGGTTGTTTTTCTTGTTTTTTATAGCATTTTTGAACCAAAAACCTCCAAAAAGTCAGTGTAACTATATTTGCTATATATTTCCAACCCCCCAATTCCATCCATTTCTGAAAATTACAGCAAAAGCAATTGATGTATAGTCCCTTTAACTTGGAGTAGTTCAAGGAATTTGGGGGTCAGTTTTAAGTTGCTTACACTATAATGGATGGCTATGGTTGAGCAAGGGCGTTAAGCTTGTTGGGCATTTATGGGCATGATGCTGTGAACAGCAGCGGGCAATAGTTCATGTGTGCCAATGTGTGTCAGCCATAGGATCCAGGTCCCGGTTTGGGGCAATAATTAGCATCTTCAGAAGCAATGAAAGAAATTCAAGGAACAGCACAACTCTCAACTAAAGGGCGGTCCAACTTTTTCACAGATGTGCAGAGAGTATGGTACTACAGTTGAAGACCCCCCTCCCTACATGTAGTACGAATATCAACATTTTTTTGTGCATACATGTGTGCATGTCAATACCATTATCAAATACCGACGTATTGTAAAGTTACCCCTAGGAGCAGTTATGTACAAATCCTCGATTCTGTACAATCAATTAAAAACATTGACAAAATTCAGGTTGCATTTCTACATGTAGCTTATCAACAAAAAAATGCACTTTTACTGCGTACATTTAAAAACAATAATCCACTTAATACTTTGTTCAACCACTGATTCATTTACAATTAGACCAAAAAAATCATCTGCTTCGATTACATGCAGTTTCAAAAATAATATAGGGTTGGTAGTTAGGACGGGATTTCTTTTTTGATTTGGCAATTTTTGTTCATGTGGATTTTAATAGATGTCGGTCAAGGTGTATGCACAAATTAATTTTATTTGCACCACGTTCTCATAAACTTTACAATTTTTTTTAAATTTTTTTTTGAGCTTCATTTTTTTCAACTCCATTAAATAAATTCACTGACATCAACTGAACCAACATCGAAAGGTTCCAGATAAACAAACATGTATTCAGAACACCGGCCCTTTAAAATGAAGCACTGACCAAACAGACACTAAAAGCTGTCATTCAGGGGGAGGATGAGTCTAATAACCACCGCTTCCTGATGTCTCAGAAGAAAAAAAAAATTGCTTCAAAAAACTAAAAGAGCAACAAGACAACAATCAAGACCCAGGAAGTCATTGGGCTGGCAATATCCGGCTCGTAAATTAAGTCCTTCGTCTCGGCCAAGAACAAAATGAGGTTAAGTTATGCTGGTGTGCATCTTCTTTTTTTTTGGCAGGGGAACAGGGAGGTGGTTCAATATCAGGTTTTGTCCTTCACCGACGTGTCACTGTATACTCGGTGTGTTACCTCCCGAGTGAAAGTTGGAGGAACAAAAATGACTCGGGTGGGACTCAAACCCATGACCTCCTGCTTTCTAGTGCAGACGTCTTACCATTCGACCACCGAGCTTGCGGGATCGGTTGGCTGGTTCGAGTCTGATACATGTACATGTACATGTAGCAGCGGGTACCGCAAGGTGGTTGTTTAAAACCAAGCAGAATAAGTACAAACATGCATCTGGTTTTTTTTTTTCTGAGAAAAACCAGAGACTTGAAATGAGAGATATTATCTTTGGTTTGGTTGTCTCTTCAGGAATTGGAGTATCAATTACGTCTGCCGGCGAGACAGTCCAAAAATGGTTTTGATCATTTCTTGTTTCTTGTAGTGCAATAAGAATCAGTTTCACTTTCAAGTGAAGGGTTAAAAAGAAAGTCTAAAAGGAAAGTATTTAGCAATGAGACACTAATTTCTGCAATTCAACCTATCCCTATCATCAAAACCTACATTAAAAATGCTACAATTATTCTCAAATGGGCTATACACACCTTGTTTTAAGGCCTATCCCCAATGCAGCACCAAAATACAATGTACATGAACATGTAATACCAGAACACATAGATTTTCTATGTACCGTAAATTGCAAAGTCCCCTGTTAACAAAAATATTTCTGCAAACTGGCCCAAGCAGGTTCAACCATACCGATACATGTAGAACAAGGTTCACTACAGTGCACTGCACTTGCTGTGCACCCCTCCCAAATAAAAAAAAGTATAATGTGGACAAAACTTTCAAGTGTTAAAACCATGTGTGCGGAAGCCTGCCCTGTATCAGAGCCATTTCAGCATCCTGGCATAACACCCACAGGGTTATAATGGCCAAACCCCATTCACCCTCAAAATCCCTCGTAAAATAGCTGCAAAACAAGCATTTTAAGGTGGCTGACCCCAATTCCCACTGGAAGACAGGAAGTGGACAGTGTTCGAATTCTTTCTTTCTCTGTACCGTACTTTCTGGGTGATACAATAAAAAGCAGAGTGGGAGTTCTGTGCTACATGTAAGATCAGTGTAGGGGAAAGCCGGATCTTCGCAGCTGAACAATGAAACAGTTGTCCAAACAGAGTTAATGCAGTGGGTCTTATTTTGGGTCTGGGAGGTCATTGAATGTTTACTTGTTGGTTTCCAAACAAAGTTGAGTGTGTGACGTTCCGATTTGTGGAAGATTGAGGAAGAAAAATGTGCTTCTTTGGATTTTTCTTAATTCCTTGTTTGGTTATGATAAATGTGTAAACCCTTTAAATAGCACTTGCATTCAATTGTGTTCAATAAAATCATGAATCTATAAAAATCATAGAGCACTGGGGCGGTTTGGGATGGTAAACAGGCAGGGAGGTTTGGAGCAAAGGCTAAAGGCTAGATTATGACACAAAACGAGTAGTGAAACAAAAGATGTGTTTTGAGTTTCTGTGTGAATAATGTCTTCCAAAACCCTCCCACAGCAACATATTCTCCCCCCCCCCCCATGGCCATCCCCCCCACCCCACCCAATAAAAGGTGCCAATTTAGCCTCGAGCTGCCACATCGGGACAATTTTCGTCACCCACTGCCATGGGCAAACAGCGTGGCAACAGCACCTGCACCATCTTACCTTGAGGCTGGCAATGACTAACTCCCTGGCCTGCAGCTCGGCTTCCAGTAACCCCAGCAGACGCAGCAGGTCCGACTTGCTGAAGTTCATGATGCCCCTGGATGCTTTCTGTAGGTGAGACCAGGAGGAAATAGGAAAGAAATGAAACATCTCCTTGACTTATGAGAGAATCACGTGACAGTTTGGTAGTCAAGTCTATCACAAGTCCTCAAAGTCCATCACAAGTCATCCAGTCCCAACTCGAGTTACGTGCTATTCAAAGGAACTATGACAAGGCCATTGCTTTGTTGTTGTACATGTACATTCACTCGTAACTTGTGACTGAACCCTAGAATCGACTAGTAATTTGCTTCAGACCGGACTTGTAAAGGACTCAATAACAATGTTCACTGCCACGTGATGGGGGTTGCCATTCTCTGTGCATGGTAAAAATATTATTTGAGAACATGAAGTTTTTCACTCACATTTCACAGATTCAGGGGTGATTTGCACTTTCAGCTTCTTTTTTACATGTAAATATAACTCTGGGCAAATCATGACAAATTCTACAATACTGTACATCAGATGTCCTCATTTCTTGAGAAAAACATTGGCATTGGTAAGTTCTGAATATCTGTATGGTGAGGTCGGCTATAAGTGGAAGTTTGTGGTGACAGTATTCTGAGAATAATTTTGCACAGATTTCCTAAAACCACACAGAGGGTCTCACTAACAGATACTTATTGTCACATGGTGTCACCACAAACTTCCACTTATGGCTTTGGCATTAGTTTCCAAATGCATTTAGCAGGTTTTCAAAGCCTACCATTTGAACAAACAACAACTTTGGTCATGCTCATCTCTCGCTGTAAAATTCTCTCTACCGCCCGCCGAACAAAAGAGTCCAAGTTATGTTATTTCACAATACCCAACACATATTTTAAAAAGACAATACTGAAGGAAAAAAAACAGACTTTCTATTTTCTTTCCTTTTCCTTTGATATTATTTCAAAATTATCAATAACACTGATCAAGATAACAAAAAAACTTGGGTTTATAAACAAACTCACTGGTGCAGCCAGTATGAAAAGCTGATTTATGAAATGTATATCAGCGTCTTCTGCAAGTCTTCTGTCAAACCTCCGGCTCTGAATTGACACAGCATTAGTTTTGCTTGACACCAACCCCCTGAAGGGGGGAAGTCGTGAGTGCCAGATCTGTGGACCGCGGTCTTGCAAGCCCGGCATTTCAATCACGCATTTCAGCCAGCATTATCAAGATGTACAGCCGGGGCCGGGTTTAAGTGTTGTTGGTGACTTTTTACACTGACATTGATAAACAAGCCGAGATAAAAGTCTGACCTTTCAAAACGTGAACCCTAACATTCAGGTGCAGACGTCTTATAAATCGACAGCAAAAGACAAATGTACGCACATGAAACATCTATGCACGTATGTACAATGTACTTCGAAATGACAGGATGCCAAGATTTTGAAATATGGTTCACAGTCCTAAACCCAACCCCCTTGAGTGATTTACCAGGAACCTTCCTTACTCTTGCAAAATCCACCAAATGGTAAACTCTGCACCCAAACAGTTGGACTCTGACTATAGGGATATGCCTAACCCCATGTAAAGCATCTCAGTTTGCCAGTGTAGTACTCACTCCAACAGAATCAAACAAAATGTGATGTTGGATTAGAGTAATAATAGTAACTAATTCTTTCTAAAGCTTTTACAAATGTACAAAAGTATCGGTATGTACACATGCAAAACGTGAAGTTACCGTCATAAATTGGAAATTTTCCAACCGTGTATAAATTTACACAAAACAAATGGATCTGTTCAGTCACTTTAGTACTCTACCAGGAGCCTACATGCATCCAAAATAAGTGCCAGAATTTGGCACTATGCATATGAAGACATTTTTCCGAAACATCATTATTCATTTAAAAAAGGTGAAAATTTTGCCGAAACTTTGAAGAACAAAAACAGTTTAACAGCTGTTTCTAAGCTTCATTTTTCGGTTTCGTCATTTTTCGGTTTCGCCAGGAGAGAGCAGGATTCTAAAAGGGAACATAATGGTATAACTGCAGTGTATCGTGCTTTGGAAACAAACTCTTCATATGACAGCTCAAAATTGATTGCAGTATTTCATTTTCTCTGAGCACTTCTTTGGTGCCTTTAATTCATCCTCTGCTTTCAGATGTTCTGACCGCTAGGGCAGCTGCAATTATCATTCCAGTGACTGCTTTTCCCCCTCAGCTTTCCCCGACATTTGATCGTTGAGGTGTGACTTTTTCGTGTAGCACCTGAAGGAAGCGGCCGCAAGACCGGCAAACACAATGAGGAGGATGTGCGTGACTCCCTAGTCGTCCCTGCATTGTTTGCATTCACGTGCCGGTACCGAAGGCCAATCACTACAGAATTGATGAGTTTCTACCACATTCTCCTTAAGGCCCAACAAGCATGTAATCAGTCCGAGATGAAGAATGCTTAACCTGTAAGGTAGACTGGCCAGAAAGCTTGTCCCTTGTTCATTTTTTTTGTATTTTTTCGGGCTACAATCATGTGATAATGAAGGAAAATGTAGCAGATTAACTTTTTAGGCTACAGTGGAAGAAAAATGTTGGAAAGATTGAGAAAGTGACACCATGTTCATTGGGTATTTCTATGCAACAGCTGCAAAATCTTGACTGAAAATAAAAAGCCTTCTTTTTAATGCATGTCAGATTCTCTTGTTTTCCATGAGTGAAGGATCAGTTACGGTATATTTGACCTTACGATAAAAAAAAATCCAAAAGTTTATGAATAATTATTGTACCTGCAACTTCAAGGAGTTTGAAGAAAATGTTTTGAATTCAAAACAATATGTTGTTAGGCCTGAAAATTCATTTATGAAGATTCAGAGCAAAATTTCCTTTGAGAACAGTTAAAATCTTTACTTCAAATTGACTCTACTACAAATACAATGTACACGTGCAAGTACATGTGCATAGTACAATCTATCAAACATTTGACTATTGAGCAGTACAACTTACATGTACAGCTCAGTTCAAAGGACTTGCAAACAAGTCTAACAGAAAAGAATTTGTGATCACTGTAAAGATAATGGTCAGCATGAAATGACATCCAGAGCATGCATCAAATCAGCAGAATGAATACATAAAGCTAAATGCACCTTGAGATACATGTACCTGTACCGGTATTTTGAAGATTCCACAGTTGACAACATACATACCGGTACCGGTACAATTACAAAACATAGGAATGCAAACAGGACAATTTTTGTAATTGACAATTTCCGACACTGACGAAACGTATCTTGCTTGCAGTATGCTACAGATCTATGGACATGTCAACCTATAATCTTGAAATCATTTATGAAACTTCAAACAGTTCTGTTCTCGAGGGTTATAGGCTGGCTCCCACCCCACAATCAGTGTCGATACGTATGGACCAGGATTGAGGAGCCAGTCTGCTCACACAGGATGGATCTTCTGTTAGCTACCAGAGGGTTACTGACGCCCAAAAAAGGGGAAGAAGAGCTTTTCGGTTTTAATTTCATTTAAACATAGAATTTGTTGAAGAGCATGGTCAAGTTAACTTTTAAAATGAAAAAAAAAAATTGGGGAAGGCCAAAATATGCTAGAATCGTGATTCATGCTTCTCCATTCTCAGGTGAATTCCAACACTTTTTTTCTCGATCCAAATTGATTTTGGGGACGCTGATGGGCTTTCTCGGATGACGATTACGAAGCAAGAAAAACATTTTGACGTGTCAAGTCCCTGACTTTGAGGGGTTTTCACAAGTTCTTCGGGGAATTCGTCTTGGCACAGAAAACTCCAAGGACCTTGCTTTTGTTGATTTTTGTTGTGAAACACGGGGGAAAAAATTCCTGGTGAAATTTGATAAGGAAGGGGCAATTATTCCAGGGGAGCAACTGTCAAACACATCATGTCATCTTTCTTTTCTTGAGATGGGGGGGGGGGGGGGGGGGGGTGAGGGACAGGGTTGATATTGACTGGCGATTCTTGCATGACTAATTTAAGGGTAATATCATCGCAGTTACTGTACCTTGATGTAACCCAAACACAAAACGTGCCACACAAAAACAAATATTGTTTCATCTTTACGAGGCCCTAAGTTATGCATGAATGAGCACTGGTTATTTTTATGAGTCACAGACTCATCAGGGACTGACATCATTATCGTTGCAGTTGACTGAGCATCATCTGAAATCTATACCAAAATGCTGAAGCGTTGACACGTTGTGAAGATTGAGTTCATGAGAAAAAAAAATAACCGAGTACATGTACCCTGAAAAAAAATTACAGGGACTACTTTTATTAGCTCATAAAAAAAGTGATAAATTTAGTGTTTCAGTGCTGGTAAGAAGATACTGTACAGTATGTCAAAGTAAAGTTTGTGGCACAAAAATTATCTACAAAACAAGCTACATGTTTAGTGTATTGCTGATCATACCACAATGGTTTCATGACTTTCGTAGGATAAAGATACATTTGCAAAATCAAAAAACAAAACTACCAAATTATGAAATAGCTTACTGGTACTTGACTGTAAATTTAAAAGTCTCAAGCGTACTGTGAAATCATTGCACCCGGTGTGCTGTCATTTTTCAAGAAAAAATGAATCAATTTCGAATCAATTTCCAAAGATGGTTGGCCAACTATCGTTGGATAAATACTAACTTATTTTAAATACTGCCCCCACTTTACCCAATTTAGTTTATAGTCCACACAGCAAAAGCAAATGTTGTACACAAATATGTATACTTTCATAGTACCTTTAACTTCCAACTTGAATTTAGGTATTACAGTGTTGAAACAGTTGAAATCTTGAAACATATTTAATTTTTTTTAACATTTCCAATACTGAACACATGCCATTTCAAACAGTCTCAATGGAAAAAAAAAGAAAATATGGGAGTAAAAATCCTGATTTATTTTGTGTCGAGCCCCATGGACCGGTTCAGAAATGAAGTCAAACTAAGTGGTTATTGATCCGGGACAGTTGGGAATTCCAGCGCGAGCATTGCAAATACTGCAAAAACAAGCCATTATCTAAGCTTAATCAAATAGCTACAACACGGCCCAAATTATTAATC